GGGGGGGTGGGGGGGGGGAAGGGGAAGAAAAGACAAGACAAAAAATAAAATAAAATTAATTACAGCGTTTAAATAAGCTTCTGAATTTTGGTAGCACGTCTACCAAGCAACTACTTCAGCTCTCAAAAGCGGCAGAGTAACTCTGTGTCCAGCAAAAAGGTCCCCCCCACCTCCCCCCCCCGTCCCCAGCGAAAAGGTTTCTCAAATACTTAAAAGTTGCAGGAGAAAATGGTCCCTGGATGAGAAAGGTACGCATTCCCTAGAAATCAGCAGGCGCCAACCTCTCCCTGCCATTCCTAAACAGCAAAGGCCCATTTGGGGCTCTCTGATCTCTCATTAGTTTCCTTTTTGCCTGCTAAACAAAGAAACGGGAGCTGATGGCACCCCGATAAAATAAATGCTCTGAACTGTTACAAGCCGAGCTCCAGATGAAGTGCGCGGTTTTACACTTTACAGACGGGAATAAAAAGCCCCCAGCGAGGGCAGCGGGGCTCTCCCCGTGCTCCGGGATCCCCCTGTGTGCCGAGGTTCTCTGCAAACCCCGCTCCCAGCTCCCAACTGCAACAGGATACCACAAATTTGCTGTTTATTATATCGAGTGCTTGGCATTCAGCAAATCTCAACTTAAAAGGAAACACATGACTTTGCAACATGTAAGAGCTCTTAATACTGGCCGAGGCTTTTCACGCAAAAACTTTTGACCACAATTAACAGAAAAAACTTCGGGAGAGCTGTAAAATGGGCGAGGAGAATTTTTTTTATTTTTTTTTTCTCCTTGCTGCTTTTAGGGCTTGTATTTATTTTATTTTTTTCCCCCTGAGCCTGTAGCCTGCAACTGGTGCTTTGCAAATAGGTGAAGCTCCAGCGAGGCAGCAGAAGGCCATCTAAGAAGACTTTTCAGGAGTGGCTTCCTCGAGTAATTCTCCTGGCAAATCACACGTGGAGAGTTTGGGAGGTTTCTCAGAGAGCCCCTTAGAAAAACACCCGGGTTCAAAGGGGGTTTTCACCCTATGTATCATCACAGCAATAGGTAGAGTTGTAAAAGAGTCCAGATGTCAATAAGTAGCGAATATAGAGAGAGATTTCAGACGGGTAAAGCTATAAAAAGCAGAAATGCTGAGCGTGGACGCGCCGTGTGTGTTCATTCATTCCCACGTGAAGGTTACATAAATACAGGGACAGGCAGCGCGGAGCTGCAAACCCTTCCCTGCCACTCCAGCAGCGGCTGCAGGACGGCTGGGGACTTTTGTCAGCTTTTCTGTACATTTCCAGGCATAATCAGACAGCACAAAGCCAGCCGAGACCCCAGCACAGAGAGAGGCACAGCCTGACACACCGAGCCTATCTGCCCTCCTGCCCCACCAGCAGCCAGACCTCGCTCCAAAGGATTTTTCCTTCATTCCCCTTCCTTAAGGAAGGAAAACTGCGTGTAGCGAGAGCAGGCCAGCCCCTTTGCCAACCCCAAATTATTTTCCTGCCTGCTCTCAGTTTTCTCCAGCAAGCATTAAGCTACTGAACCATGAAGGGACCCTCTCACCCCCTGCACCCGCTGAGCAGGGCCGGGTCGCGCCTGGGCTTTTCCCGGCAGCGTGGTGCCCCAGACGGGCTCGGATCTTCGGCTCCTAAAGCTTTCCATAATTCCAGGTGAAAGGAGATTTAGGGAGGAAACCACCGGAGAGAGAGAGAGCCTTGCCCTGGTGGGGTCCAGAGACTGAGGAATGGGGGACAAGGGGGGTGGAAAAGGCACAAACCCCCGACCCAGACCTACCTTCCCGATTTGGTAATCACCATCTCCGTGCCTCTTTTATGGAATTGCTCCCAAAGCTCTTTAGCTTCCAGATGCACTTTCGGATCGTCTTCTACCTCTTCTTCTGGCTCCAGAGTTTTTAAAGGCCTCAGATGGGCTGCAGCCTGGTGACCCAGGGAAGAAAAGGGAATACCAGTCTCTGCAGCCCCCACTAACTGATCCATGATGGGTTTAGCCAGAGCCCCGGGAAGGGAGAGGGCGGCTGCCCCGTTGGGAGGCAAAGCCAGAGCCGGGAAGAAGGGAGGCTGATGTCCCAGCACGGCGCTCATGGCAAAGTCCGGTGCCCGGTGCGGTAAAAAAGGATGATAAGCCATGCTTGTCCCAGGGATTACTGGATCTCTCATCGGTAAATTCATCCACTCCACTCCTCGGTCTTCCTACTGCTGGAGTAGTCCCGGAGTGGTTTCTAACAGCACATCACGAAGAAGAAAAAATAAGATAATAACAGTAACAGCAATAAAGCGCCAAAAAAAAAAAAAAAAAGGTTGGGGGGGAAAAAAAACAAGCTCTAAACAGCACAGTACATGAGGGAGAGGCAGAACTTCTACAGCCTACAACTTCCCGAGCCGGGGCTCATCCCCAGCCCTCGGGACAGCGGATTAACAGGATTGTTCATTATTAGTCTTGCTTTTTCTCGTGTTCGGTCTCTGAGGTTTTGTTTTGCTTTTTAGTTGTTTGCGTTTTTTTTTCCTGAGTGGAAGTCCTTGCGCTGGAAAAGAAACGCCGAAGAAGGGAAGAAAAAAAATCCACCGGGTTCGCTGTCTGCTCCTGTTGTCGCAGAAGGGCTGGACAAGCTGAAATCCTTTTTTT